TAAGAGGGGCTTGTTGGTGCCTTTTCTATTGTAACCTCCATCCTACATTATCTTTACAGCCATCATGATAGATCTGTTCCAGGAAGGAGCCACCATGTCAAATTCTTTAGGCAGTTAGTGGGGGGGGGGGGTCAAACGTCCCTAGAGAAAACAACCAAGGTAAAGAGATAGATTTCAGGGTGGCCAAATCTTGATCTCCCACACCAGTTATAGATAAACCAATAAAATCTGCTTTATAGGAAGCTTAATATCGAGACTATATTCAATGCCATTTATTCTTGAGACAGGAAGTATAAAAGCATCACATAGCAGGTAAGCATTTACTTTCTCTGTAGTATGTTCTGAAGGTTGCTTTTGTGATTAAATCTTCTGTGTCTGCCAGTGCATCTACAATAATAGCAAATTTTAAGGGAAAGGAAAGAGTTTTCTTTATGTTGTTTGTGGTCTGGATTCCAGATACAGTGGAAGTTTGCTAAGAGATGTTGTCTCACAAAGTGGCCAAGTGCACAGTCAGACTGCGTGGATTCAAATACCAGAAACTACAACTAACTCCCTGGGTCAAGGGGGACGGTGCTGTCACAGCTTCCACCTCCCAGGGTTGGCGGAGGGGGAAAGAGAGAATTCATTTACGTGCTCACCCCGTGCCTGTGCCTTGTAGGCACTCAGTTCAGACTAGCTACTGTGTAACGGGAGGGTAGCATTTTCTGTAAAGGATTAAATGGTACTCATAAAGGATTTAGGTATGAGAAGAGTTTTGACTCAGGAAGTCTTCTGAAAAGTTTTTGTGTATCTAAAGAAAAATCAGAACTGTGTCCAAACTGCTGTCTTGGCTCATCAGGGGATCAAAGCTGTACTGGCTGAGAGCTACGAGCGCATTCACCGCAGTAACCTGGTCGGCATGGGGGTGATCCCGCTCGAGTATCTCCCTGGGGAGACCGCTGACACCCTGGGACTCACCGGGCAGGAGCGATACACTGTCAGCATTCCAGAAAACCTCAAACCACGAATGAAAGTCCAGGTCAAGGTAAGCCAGAGCCCCCTCAGGCCAGGCCCGGCTAAAAGGGACCCTGCGTTTGTATCAACCTTGTGAGAAGGAAATCAGTGGGATGTGGAAGGGAAAAAATCCCTCCTTAGGCCAGCATTGGACATAGGCGCTCTGCCAGCAGCTGTTCCACCTGCCTTCACAGCACAGTGAGCATGATGCCTGCTGGTCTGTTACTTATTTCTGTTTATCCGTAGAGTTATCATCAGTTCCTTTCTTACCTACCAGCCCCACTAGCTCCTGTTTCTCCTGATGTCACGTGGCCCAGAGAATAGTGATGAAGGCTCAGGGATAGGACATTCTCTAAAAAACACCTTTTTGTTGTAAAAATGTGAACAGCAGACACACTCACTCCATCCCTGAGTCTCACCCCAGGCCCCAGGCTTTGATCAACCCCGAGGTAAAAATGACAGCTCCCTGGGCGAGGTGAGGATTGAGCGCCTGGCACCAAGGTCTCGGGGTGACTCAGACACCCGGGCAGAGGCCACGGCTGAGGTCTGTGTCCCAGTGTGAGCGGCTGGGCCAGCCGCCTGAGGGACAGCCGAGATGAGACCTCAGCGAGCCTGCAACGCTTCTATCCGCAGGGAGCTCCCAGAGAGGGTTCAGAAAATGTTGTCCTAAACGTTGCTGGTAGCTGCTCCCTGAGAGGCTATGTCGAATTCCCTGCTGTCTCTCGCTTCTGTCATTTATACTCTGCAGACGAGTCTGCTGGGGACCTCGTTAAAGCGCAGCCTCTGACTCAGCGGGGCTGGGCTGGGGCCAGAGACTGCACACGCTCCCGGGCGCTGCTGGTGTGCGGACCACACTTTGAGGGGCAGTCCTGCGGGCAGGCTGGGCGGGGTCCCCCCTGACTGCTGCCTCGCCTCCTCCCTCAAAGGTTCTTTTCTGCTGCTTTGTCATCACAGCTGGATACCGGGAAGACCTTCCAGGCCGTCATGAGGTTTGACACCGACGTGGAGCTCACTTACTTCCACAACGGGGGCATCCTCAACTACATGATCCGCAGGATGGCCAAGTAGGCCCTCGCTTCTTAGGAGCCCTGCACTCCGAGCTCTGCCAGGGAGAGCGCGGCGCCCCCAGCCGGCGGGGCCCGGGTGCAGAAGCGTCCCTCCTGCCTCCCTCAGGGTGCTGCCTCACAGATGAGCGCCCGAGCACTGGGGTGCTGGTGCCAGGCCTCCAGGCGCAAAATCAGCAGTTTCTACCTTCGCTATCTCTGTTAATCTTTTTATCTTTTTCTAGAATTTGAAGCTAGAATGGTGGGAATGTCAGTAGTGCAGGAAGAGAGAACTGAGCTCGTCTTTAAAGTTACTGATCACAGAACGATGATTTGTCACTCTCACCTGGTAATGTTCAGCTGAACACAAATGAGTCGTCTCAGAAGGGGTCTCCCGCCCTTCTTTAGTTCCCCTCTGTTCTCCTCTCCTCCTCTGCTTTCCCTGGGGGTCACTGGCCTTTGCATCTTATACCAGTGTTAACTGACAGTGGTAGAGAAGAACTTTCTACACTTCAAATCAGTGTGTCAACTCCCCCTTTTTCTTCAGAGTGAATGATTCTGACACCTCGTGGACAGGTCAAATGCTGATATTTTTTAGTTATGTACCTTTTGATAGATCAACAGTAAAGAAATGTGAAGTTTTCTTGCACTATCTATCTTGAAAAATTTTCCCAGAAAATTCTTCATTGGTCAAGAGGAGGACTTTGGAGGTGAACATTTCTAATTTGAATAAGATTAAATCTATTTTCAAGGAAGACGTTCTGACTTTGGAATTGACTTCTGCTGTGTGTGTGGCTCTAGTTTGGGGGTGTTGGGAGCAGGGCAGATCTCAGACCGCAGCATCCTGAAGCCTGGATGACCTTCAAGTTCTCCTGTTTTTACAGCCACATCTGTGCAGGTAAAACGGAAGTGTTGAGGAACCTATCTGTCCTCTGCCTTGTTTGGGACCAGACAGGAGGGTAGCAGGAGCGATAATGTAGTATGGCGAGCAGATCATAATTTTTTTGATTTTCGTACTGATTTCTCTGCTCGTTTTCATCACTGAAGTTGTTTCAGGGCACATGTCTTAGTCTACTCCAGCTGCCATATCAAAATATCATAGACTGGGTGGCTCAAACATCAGCAATTGATTTTCTCACACTTCTGGAGGCTAGAAGTCCAAGATTAAGGTTGCAGCCAATTCGTTTTCTGGTGAGAGCTCTCTTCCTGGCTTTGGATGGCCGCCTTCTCCGGTGCCCTCGTGGCCCTTCCTTAATGCACGCGCATGGAGAGAGAAAGAACAGCTCTCCGGTGTCTCCTCTTGTAAGGGCCCCCCCCCCCCCAGATCAGCACCCCACCCAGGTGACCTCATTTAACCTTAGTTGCTTCCTTAGAGGTCCCATCTCCAGAGTCACAGTGGGCGTTAGGGCTTCAACACATGAATTTGGTGGGGCACACAAACATTCAGTCCCTGACAGGGCACCTTGTAGCTTACAAGTTAATCTCTTTGTAATGAATTTTAAATCCCAACGTTAGCTCTCAGGGGCTGTGGCCTGGTCATCAGAACGCCTAGGATCAAGTCCTGTCCGCATCTCTTCCTGGAGGAGGGACAGGACAGGTCACTGAGCATCCCTGCCTCTGAGGTCCAGGGTCTAACCTGTGCTCATGAACCAAAATTACAAACAGACCCTGCTGTACAGAAAAGCCTGTGACCCTCAGATTAGGATCAGTCCCAGCATAAAAACACTAAGCAAGGCCGAACGAGCAGACCCTCACCCTCCTGGCTCCCCATTTCTGAGCGTCTGGGGAGCGATCTAGCTCCCCGCATTCGGTGGCTGTGTCTGGTAGAATGGAGTCCCGTCACTCTGGACTCTGCCCTTGTACCTCCAAACACACGCTCCATCCTTTTCACTAATAGCGTCTTGGCCAGTGTCACATCCTTGCCCACAACAAGGCTCAACAAACCAGCCCCTTTTACCTGGTTTCTCAAGAAGGCACTGGTCCTCCTCCTCCCCAGGTTAAAGTATGCTGCTCTTCCTGGCCCCGGTCCTGCTTCCTCTCTGTAGGATTCCCATCTCCTTATTCTTGTGTTTTTCCAAACCCGTCACTGCCTGATCTCTCCTCGGGAAACAGGCATTCCTTGGTGCGCACAGTGAGTTAACTGACAGATTTAATCCAGCAAAGAAGCACATGTGTCTTTGGCTGTGGCACGGCCTTCCTGTGGGTGCGTACACCCCCACGTCTTTGTGGTGCATGGACAGCGATCTAGGGGAAGGATATATTAGTCATGACTCTCAGTTATGGTGTTAGAAGCACAACTCAAACTGGCTTAAGCCGAGAAAATAATAATTGGTTCATAGACCTTGAAGGACAGGGGTAGCCATGACCACAGGCTTGATTGGATCTAGGGACTCAAACTCAGGCCCCCTCCCATCGTTTCCCCTCTCATCTTACCTTCCATTTGTGATGGCCTCATTCTTTTGGGCCGCTCCATGTGCCGGGGGTATGGCCACCAGCAGCGCTGGGTGACAATTAGAAATTTGTGATCTTAGAGATTTGGCTCCCAGTAGTCCCTGGCCTAAAATACTGGGAGTTTCCTAGTCACCTAAATGAAGAACCTTATTTTGGGCAGTTTCCCTTTCAGGGTTATGTTAGGACAGTGCGGTGAACTCCACAGGATTATGTAGGAGCAAGTTCGAGTTCTGTTCTAAAAAACAGTAACCAAGGCTCCACTGGCCGCCCTGTTAGAAAGTTGGCAAATGTCATGGCCACAACAGAATTTAACACCCACGTGGCTTTTGTTCACCCAACAGCCTAATTATCATGAACAATGATTATATAATTATAGCCGATATTTTAACAGTTTTAATAATTTGCATCCCAAGAACTGAAGCCTACATATTCAGTGCAGATTTATGGAGTTTTTAGTTTTATAAATTTATGAAATTTATAGTTTTATTTCATAGCATAATAAAACAGAGTTACTGGTCAGATCCTGTAATTAATTGTCCAGTTAGGTTCTGGTTGTCTGGTCAGCATTGGGGCAGCTACCTGCTTCTACAAGAAGTTAACGACATCCCATGAGTAAGAGTTTCAGGGTCAGTGTATTTGGGAACCAGTGGGTTAACTGGGTCTTATTACCGCAGAACTGACACAGTGACACACAATGACAAGGCAGGCTGTAAACCTCTCATTTGAGGGGAGGGGGCAGCAGGCACCACAGAAACCCATCACACCACGGAGTATGCTCTTCAGAGCATCTCAGCACTGTGTTCCACAGGACGTGCTTGAGGAAACGCAGACCTGACGGCTTCTTTGTTTTTTAAAATCAAATAATAATATCAATTTTAAAGACAGGAATCAGACTTTACTGCCCTTGTTATGCAATTAGGCATTTGATTGAATGGGACTTTTCATTTCAGGGGAAAATATCACGACGTGGGCATTGGCAGGGACGACAGAGATAACAAGATCCTGTGGTTGTATAAGGGACGGTATCTGAACCACTGAGGAGCTGCGAAAACCACACGTGGCTGGACGCCCTGCCAGGATGTTCGAATGGGGGCTGGGCGTGTGCCCATGAAAAAGACTCCCCAGCTGGTTCTGAAATGCAGCCTTTGATCTAGAAATCCAATGACCAGCATTTGGGTGTCAGTCAAGAGTTTGCAATTTTTGAACTCTACCTACCAGTGTCTTTCATTCAGTAAATATTAACCAAGTGCCTGTCCTCTTCCAGGCTCTAGGCCTGGCAATGGCTTGACTCCATGCTCAAGTCAAACTAGCAAATTCTGAGTTTTTCTTGTTTCTGCTTTAGTCTGCCGCCTTCTATTGGTTGAAGAGAAGTGAGGACTATTCACCTTCATCCAAACTGAACCAGTTAGATACTGGAGAGAACTTTTCTCAAATAGATTTCCAGTCGATGTTTTATACATCCTATTGGAGTTCTTAAACAACAACATCCAAAAAAGGCAATCACATTTAAAAAGAGAGACTTGTAGGACTGTGATTTATAATAAGAAATACAAGTGTATATATTTGGTCTTCATCCTCATTTCTGGCACAGAGCTCCTAAAACTCTTGGAATTTCCTAAGTGATGACAGCGGCAAAAGTGTTTGTTATGTTAACGAGGTAACCTTTTTTTGGATGGGGGCTGGTTGCCAGGAGAACCAACTATGTGATTAGAAGGTTGGAACTTGCAGTCCTACCCTCTGACCTCTGGGGAGGGAAGAGGAGTTAGAGGTTGAATCAAATGCCAATGGCCAATAATTTAATCAATCATGCCTATGGAAGGAAGCCTCCATAAAAACCCAAAAGGACAGGGTTCGGAGAGCTTCTGGGTTGGTGGCCACGTGGAGATTTGGGGAGAGTGGTGCGCCTGGAGAGGCCATGGACACCCCACGCCCTTTCCCCACACCTTGATGGAAGAGCTGCCTCTCTTCCACCTGGCTGTTCCTGAGTTATATCCTTTTATAATAAACCAGTGATCTAGCAAGTAAAATCTTTCTCGGAGTTCCTTGAAATGCTCTAGCAAATTAACTGAACCCAAGGAGGAGGTCGTAAGAACCTCCAATCTAGAGACAGTCAGTCCAGAAGCACAGGTGATAACCTGAACTTGTGACTGGCGTCTGAAGTGGGGCTGGGCCAGGGAGGGCGGGGGGGTGGCAGTCTTGTAGGACTGAGCCCTTAACCTGCGGGATCTGACGGGATCTCCAGGTAGATAGTGCCAGAACTGAGCTAAATCATAGGACACCCAGCTGGTGTTGGAGAATTGCTCAGTGGTGTGGGGAAACCCCTACACTGGAATTGGTGACCAGAACCTGAATACTCTAATGAAATATAAGTGGAAAATGAATAAAAGTCAGCAAGAAAGTTGGCTTTAATAATCCATTTTAATTGAGTCTTACTAAGACTACTTCTAGTAATAACCATTATCAAGCAACCACTGTTTATATCATGTACTTTTCACACATTTCAGTTAAAACCCTCTACTAGCCCTTAGAGTTATGTATTATCCTTGTTTTACAGAAGAAGAAAATTAAGCCAAGGAGAGGTTATGTAACTGGCAGGTTCTCCAATTCTCAGCCAGATGAAATGGAGAGGGAGGTGGCTGTAGCATGTCACCCCACTGATCTCTGGGGTTGATTTGGGTAGCATGGGTGGTCTCTTGGACACCAAAGATGTAAATAGGTGCCACTTGAAAAGAGTTATGCAATCACATGTTGAACATATTATTAACATTTTATGATGTTTGGAGGTTTGTTTAGGCCATTGATGGTCCTGGTGAATTACAAACAACTAATCTGAGTCTGTTTTAGGAAGATGCTTAAATCACTCTAGAGCCTACCCGGAATTGAACACAAAATACCTTGGCCTGGATGGAAACAGCAGAACTCAGGCAGCTGTCTCCGTGTCTAGAAAACCCCAAACTAAGCTCTGGAGCATCAGCAAACCTTGTTAAGTGACACTGGAAAGCCATCCGGATATGTATTCTAATTTTGTAAATAGGACAGCAAATTAAACTGCCTCATCAGTATCATCCAAGGGACCTAACTGAGAACACAGTCCAAATGTTTGCCACCCACTGTTGTTGGAAAATGGCCTGAGATGACCATTCAAAGGGAATGATGGCACAGGTTAAGAAAGCAAATTAATAGGGCAAGATGTACAATAACCTAAAAGAACAGAAATCAACTTCTCAAGCAGTACTGTATCACTTACATGCCCCCATTACTAAAAGCTGTCCACTACAGAATTTTAAGATTACATGCCACACATTGCTACACAGAGAACACAACCGTATGTAACTATTACACATATGTATATGTATATATATTGAACCCTTGGAATTATCCACATTTAAGGGATCAGTAAAAAGGAACCAATAGAAAAGACTGGGATAGAACCGGAAAGGATGAAGCCAAGAGGGAGTTCCAAGGAAAGAGTACTCACCAGGAGCAAAGAGGTCGAAGGAGAGAAGGCCAAAGAAGCGCCCAATGGATCTGGCAACAGAGTCACTGGTGACCTTGACAAGAACAACTGCAGTAGATTATTAAGGGCAAAAGCCAGTGTACCATAGGTTCAGGAAAGAAATGGAAGTCAGGAAAACCCTTTCAACATTCATTCATTCATTTATTCCAGTGTGTACTGAGTGGCTACTGGGTACACACTGGCAGTTGGTTCTGAAGGGAAGGATAGAAACGGAAGTTCAGGCTTTGTAACTTTTCCCCAGTACTTAAAGCTCTATTGGCGTAAGAGCATTCGGGGCTGTGGTTCCCTCCCTTGTGCTTTACATGTATGATGGACTACAAAGTGTTGAAATTAACACACAGAAGGTGAAGTTCAGTAATAAACATTCAGTGTGGTACAAGCCTCAGGTAAAACATCTTCATGGTGGTACAAGCAATTCATGATTTACCCACTGGGGCTAATTTCTTCTTCACTCAGGTCACCCCTTCCCTGTAGCTGAAGACTGAGGTCGTCAGGTCATTGGGGCATTTCTGCAGCATCGAACGGTATTTTCTCAAAATGAAAGTCCGTCCACTTGGCATACAGTGTCTGAACTCCGGTTGCAATATCCTCCACCACAAAACTTTGAATTTTTATAACTGGAATCTCAAATGCCCTATACTTCACATAGATTCCCCAGTCATGTCTGCAGTTCTCTCCGGCACAGAATATCTTTGCTCTCTTCTCAAAACTCCCAAAGCTCTTTGGTTTGGGGTGTTTTTCACACACAAAGCATTCCTTGAAAGCATCTCCAACCACAGTGTAATGGCATTCCTACACAAGAAGGGATTGAATAACACAAAACAGAACGTTAGAACCAGTACATAACTGTGATTACGAAAAGAAAACTCCATGATAACCGAGATGATGAGCAGGTGGGATCCCACTTATTTTATAGATGGGGGAAGAAGGAAATATGGGTTCACCTGACTCCCGGTACAGCCTGACTCCCAGTTACACATGTGGAGGGGAGGGTGGGGTGGCGGTGCAAGGGAGGTGATAGGGGACTTCTCATGAAGAGGAGGACTAAGTTTCCAGGCAACCTCGCTCCCATGAGTAGATACTCTTTATTAATTCAGAAACAAAAGGGGTATCTGTTGAAGATCTGCGAAGCCTGAGTCCACCAGTGGCCCTGACAGGCATAATCCAAAGGGTAAGAGAAGAACAAGAAACGGTCAGTGTGGACCTGAAGGGGTCCAGGGCCTAATGTGTCCACAGGCCCCGCCTGCAGTCAGCCTCAGAGTCACCCTGAGAAAAGGCCACACTGCACGGAACACTGCAGGAAAGCGTGCGGTCTAAGAGGGCCGTCTCAACAGAAAAATCACCCACGCTGGAGCTGGAGGACCTCTCACAGCTGGGGAAGCAGCCTCAGAAAGGCAGGGGACCCCGCCAATGTCCCCTGTAATGGGCTTCTTGCTTAAACGGCTGGACTGACTGGAGACTTCAGCTTTCCCGACCAAACGGAACCTCAAGAAACAACTCATCGTCTGAGCCAGCCAGGCCTCCACCCTCCCACCATCGGCAGCAAGAGTTACATCCAATTTTTGTCTTTGGAGATTTTTCTAATCCTTTATCTAAAAGTTTAAAAATACATAGAGAGAGAGGAAGATGGGCACGGATGTTAGCCCAGGGCCAGTCTTCCTCAGCAAAAAGAGGAGGATTGGCATGCACGTTAGCTCAGGGCAGATCTTCCTCACACACACACACACAAAAATAGAGAGAGAGAAAGCTAAGCTACACGTGTCATGTTTTTAAAACAAGGAGATATTTTGTTTCATTATAAAAGTGATCCATATCCCAAAAAGTTTAGAAAACATAAAATAGTAGAAAGAGAGAAAAAAATCATGGAGTCTTACTGCAAAATATTAATACATTTTAGTATATTTGCTCTAGGCTTTTTTGGTACAAAAATAAATTTTTTGATTTTTTAGTTTTTTTGGTAGTGATGGTGGTGTTGCTGCTATTATTTCACACCACGATAATCAGAGCATATTTATAATTTTGTATCCTGGTTATTTTTTCCACTTTACCATTAGTCTGCAAGGAGTTTTTCATTACACTACATAAGCTTCAGAAGCATTTTGTTTAATAAACTTTACTTTGGAATAATTTTAGGTTTACAGAAAAGTTGCAAAGATAGTCCTGAGAATTCCTGTACACCCTCCCAGCTCCCCTGAACGCTGACAATCTCACACACCATTGCACATTTGCCAAAACTAAGAAATTAATATCGGCACATTACTATTACGTAAACTACAGATTTTACCACTTTTTCTAATAACATCCTTTATCTGTTCTAGGATCTAATCCAGGAAACCACCCTGCACTTAGCATAACTATTATTTTTAATGGCTACATAATATTTAATTAAGTGGCTGTGCAGTAATTTTTTTAACTAGTTCTTTTTTTTTTTTTTTAAAGATTTTATTTATTTTATTTTTTGCCCCCAAAGCCCCAGTAGATAGTTGTATGTCATAGCTGCACACCCTTCTAGTCGCTGTATGTGGGACTCGGCCCCAGGATGGACAGAGAAGTGGTGCCTCAATGCGCGCCCAGGATCCGAACCCGGGCTGCCAGCATCGCAGCGCGCGCACTTAACCACCAAGCCACAGGGCCGGCCCTAACTAGTTCTTTATTATTGAAGATTAACGCTTCCTTTTTAACTTTTTAGCCTTTTTAAAATACATGGACCAGGGCCATGATGACAACAGAAACAATAGTTTTCTTACTATAAATATCTCGCCCATAGACAGTAAGCGTTAATGAGTGCTAAAAAATGCCCCAGTGCTCTTTGTTAGAAAGGCTGCTTACCTCGATCACCCTTATGTCGGCCGTATAACATGCAAAGGCTTTGCACTTTCTGCAGAGCAGTTTTTTATTCTTCTTATCAAGTACAGGTTCTGCTTTTCCTTGACTATCTCTGATGAATTTTTCATGAATTTGTATCTGGTGAATCTATATGCAAAAAAAAAACAAACAAACTCATAAATGTAATTTGACTATAACTAGGATATATATGTGTATATACATAGACACACACACATATTTACATGTATAATCATTCATTCACGTACAACTTCCATGAACGTACAGTACCTGGCTTTGTTTATAAAAATCCCATATAATTTTATTGGTTCTCCTAACTCTTTGTTAGTCAAGGCTTAAGTGTGCCCTCCAATTAGTCTTTTCATTTCTTCATGAAAGATGCCCATAAAAGCACTAATGATGGCCATAAAATAGTCATGTGAACCATGCTTTCTACTTTAGTAGTTGGCAAAACTTTAAAAAATCCTTCACAAATAGGCATATGATACACATTGTTTCAGGTATAATTACACACACTTCCAGGGCATAAACCCATTGAATGGAGCAGCAGGCAGAAGAGCCCCCACCATCTAAAATCTTTTTTCTCTCTCCCCTTACAACCACAGAGAGTACTGTTGAATTACAGTAAAGTTAAACGTATGTATAGTATGACTGCATTCTATTTCAAAATTTAGGCTAAATACAACTAAGGACCCTGGACATTATATATAAAATAAACATAAGAAAATTCTGAAGGGTGAAGAGAGGAAGGCAGGCCAGTGAGGACACTTGAGGACACTTGAGACCCTAGGAAAAACATGGTGGTGAGTTCTCTGGTTTTCTTTTCTTTTCTTCAGCTCCAAGTCTCATATATCCCAGACTTGGAGCTGAAGACGCTGGCAACCAGGAATGCTGATGGGCACAGACAAAAAAGTCTCAACACAAGGCTACCCTCTCTCGCCAAAGGACCAGGCAAGGGGCAGCCTAGCAAGACAGAAAACTCTTAGGCGACAGCTGTTCTACTCCTGCCAAACAACATAGAAAACAACAACAACAAAAACTGTGAACTAACCCACACTCATACCAGCAAAGGCTGAGTGGAGAACCTAGGATTCCACTTTGCAGGGCTGTGATGAAGCACCCAACACTCCCACCTGGTGGTGTCAGAGGCCAAGGAGGGAGCCAGGACTTTCATCCCCACTGAATGGACACCCCCTCACTCATGGTGTCAGTGGAGATCATGTGGGGAGCCAGAATTCCCACTCCCACCTGCAGTAATGAGGAGCCTCCCCCTTGCTGGTATCGAGAGAAGCTGAGTGGGGAACTTAGACTTCTACCTCCACCTGGCAGTGAGGAGACAGTGTCTCCACCTCCTCTGCCAGAACAGTGTCAGAACAAGCCAGCTAACACAGGAGGTTAAGTAAGATCCTGAGACTCATAACACAGTAAGAAGATGTCCAGGTTTTGCTAAAAAAATCACTCTTCACACCAAAAACCAGAGAGATCTCAAACTGAATGAAAAAAGACTATCAGTTGATGCCAACACTGAGATGACAGAGATGTCAGAATTATGACAAAGATTTTAAAGCAGCCATAATAAAAATGCTTCAATGAGTAATCAGAAACACTCTTGCAACATGAACAAATATAAACAACCAAGAAATGGAAGATATAAAGAAGAACCAAATGGAACTTTTAGAACCTTTCAGTTCCATATAATAACCTAAATCAAAAGCTCAGTGGACAGGCTCAACAGCGGAATGGAGGAGACAAAGGAAAGAATCAATGAATTAGAAGAGAGAACAATAGAAGTGACCCAATCTGAACAACAGAAAGAAAACAGACTGAAAAAAAAATGAACAGAGCCTCAGGGACCTTTAGGACTATTAAAAGAGATCTAACATTCATGTCACTGGAGTCCTAGAAGGAGAGGAGAAGGAGAGCAGAGTTTAAAAGTATACTGGAAGAAATCATGGCTGAACGTTTCCCAAATTTAACATAAAGTAACATAAACCTACAGGTTCAAGAAGCTGAACAAATCTCAAAAGGAATAAACCCAAAGAAATCCACACCAAGACACATTGTAATTAAACTTCTGAAAACTAAAGACATAGAAAAAGTCTTGAAAGCAGCTAGAAAAAAACACCACCACCTTACCTATAGGAGAAAAACAATCTGGATGACAGCAGATTTATCATCAGAGACCATGGAGGTCAGAAGGAAGCATTTTTCAAATGCTGGAAGAAAAAACCGTCAACCCAGACTCCTATACCCAGCAATATGTCCTTCAAAAACACAGTCATGTGCCACATGATGATGTTTTGGTCAACGACAGACCACATGTACGACAGTGGTCCCGTAAGATTAGTACCATGTAGCTTAGGTGTGGAGTAGGCTATACTATCTAGGCTTGTGTAAGTACACTCTGATGTTCACACAACAACGAAATTGCCTAACAACACATTTCTCAGAACACGTCCCTGTCATTAAGCCATGCATGACTGTAAAGGGGAAATCAAGACATTCTCAGATGAGGGAAAACTAAGAGAATTTGTTCACCAACAGACATTCCCTAAAAGAATGGCAAAAGGAAGTTCTCTAAACAGAAGGAAATGCTAAAAGAAGGAAGCTTGAATCATCACAAGGGAAGAAAGAACATGCTGATTTCCACAGTGTCAGCTGTAGAAGGGTCTGCCCTGTCCCCCTGGTTTGTGGTGCTGCCTCTCTTTCATCAGACTTCATTTTCAAGTGTTCCAGGTGGAACTAGACAGCCTCGATGAAAATCCTGTTTCTACCACTTACCAGCTGTGTGATTCGGGGAAATTGCCTCAGTTTCCTCAAATACAAAATGGGAACAATAATAGCATTTATTTCATGGGCTATTGGGAGGTAACATGAGTTTATAACTGCTCAGAACCTCCTGGCACAAGTTAACTGCTCATGGACGCTAGCCTCAGTCTGTTAGGCTAGTCTTAAGCTAAGAACCTGAAAATGTTAATATAGTGGTTTGTACTTTAGTATCGATACCCATAGATGAATAATTTTTTCAGAAATATCACAGCTATTTTCATTTATTTATTGTTCTATAGAAACTCTGGAATCATTTTATCAAGTTACAAATATCATTTATACTTTGATTATGGGTTGCGATAAACCTATAAGTGAATCTGGGGTGAACGCACGTCTTTAAAATATTCAGTCATTCCATTCAAGAACATGATGCTTCTTTTCTTTTGTCTTAATTTACCTCATATCTCTCAATAACACTTTTGTAGTTGTCCTTATTTATGCTTCACACATTTCTGGTTAGGCCAGTAATGCAGTAGTTAAACAGATGGGCTCTGCCAGCTCCACCCCTAACTAGCTATGTGACCCACTGGCACTGAAGATTTTCATGCCTCAGTCTCCCTCCTATAAAATGACATAATAAGAGGCTCTCCTGCATGGATCGCCGTGAGGCCTGTTCATATAAAGAAAGCGTTTCAGGCTTGGTGGAGAGTCCATGTTCTGCATGTGTGAGCTGTGGTTACTGTTGTCACTGTGAATGGAAATCTCTCTCCCCCGATATCATCTACTGGTTACTCATCATCCACACAGAACCCATTGATCACTAAAGCACTTCAAATTCAAATAAAAGTTGATTTATATAAAAAGTTTAGACCTGGAATATAGGTTAAGAAAACAATCAAAATATAATTTTCTATCCCCACACTCCCCACCCCATCCCATTTGAAATTATCTTCACTGGTTTTGTAAAAATAAAGGATGTTTATGCCTCCTATTTTCAATTCAATTTCTCACTGCTGTGAAACTGTGACATATGTGTATTTATCCATTATTTCCTTTGGATAAATTTCTAGACATGAAATTCCTGGGCTACATGACATACATTTCCCTATGAGCAATTTTAATTTCCTTTTTTCAGACATGGTTCTAACTACTCCTTGATGCAGACTGGGGGTGCGGGATTTGATAGGAAAGAGGGTACACATATACACTTGCCCTTGGGGCATCCAATTAAAAAAAATTCACATATATCTAAAGATATTCAATTATGTCTGAAAATTCAATTAAAAACTAATAATCTGAGGGCCGGCCCCGTGGCTTAGCGGTTAAGTGCGTGCGCTTCGCTGCCGGCGGCCCGGGTTCGGATCCCGGGTGCGCACTGAGGCACCACTCCTCCAGCCATGCTGAGGCCGCGTCCCACATACAGCAACTAGAAGGATGTGCAGCTATGACAGACAACTATGTACTGGGGCTTTGGGGGAAAAATAAAT